GGATGTAACCAGAGCGTGGACTACCGTGGCCAAGTCAGACTTCCCAAGGTATGGGCGCAGCTGGTGCACAAGTTTTAGCTGTGCAAATGCTCCCCTGTCTGAGATAACTTGTTAGTACTGATTTTGTTCAGAATATTTCAGTAAATTTTAGACTTCCGTCTCTTATTTGGCAATTAATTGCTGGCCTTTATAGAAATGTAGTCCTAAAGCTTGGTACAGACAACTGAATTGAAGTAGCCTCCTGGGAGCCTTAGAGAACAGGTTCTCTGTCTCCGCGCTCCAATTTTTTGTGCACCATTTCTCTCCCCTGCTGTTTCGCAAAATGCTGTGCTTGCTCAGGTCCAGCCCACTTTATACCTCTTCCCATCATTAATTGCAGATTTTCTTATTTTTCAGTTAAGGTGAAGTGTGTTTAGTTAGGGCTTGGGGTTAAGGTCAAATATTTGTACTGGGGTAAATAGAAAGATATGGATATAAATATAAATATAAATATAAAGATATTGATCATGTTCTCTCAGTCCTGTGGGCTTATATAGAGGGAAAGGAGCAAGCCACAATTGTATCACTTCACTAGTCATATTTAATAATTATATCATTTTTCCTTCCCATGTACCAATTTGGAGACTAGTTATTTCTTTCTTGAAGTATGGAGGAAAGGCCAACCAATTTGTATGCTCTGTTTTCTGTACAACTGTATGAGATTTCATGTTCTGCTCAAATCACTTGTGATTGTTCATGAAAAGCTGAAAAGATAACCAGATCGATGTGAAATCAAAGCCTAAGCATTGATCTCCTCTTCCCCATTTTTCCTTTCTTGCTTTGTTCATCATCTATAAGTCACTGTTAACCCGCCTTTGATATTTTATGATGCAGACTTGGACACAAAAGATTTATATTTTTTCTTTTAATGATCAATTTTGTGATACGGGCAATAAGAATAGGCACTAAATCAAAGTTTCATATGGTGTGCATTTGCTTGATAGTCCTTGAAGACAGGACAATTACAGCAGTGACAAGACTTGGGGCCCTTCCACATAGCATATATCAAGGCAGAAGATTCCTCAATATCTAGTTTGAACTGGGATATCTGAGTCCAAAGTGCCATATATTCCAGTTCAAAGCAGATAATGTGGGATTATATTCAGCTGTGTGGAAGGGCCCTGGTGTACAAATGGAGGTAGGGAAATAGAATTTTCCCATTTGTAACACTTGCTACTTACCTACTCCAAATAGCCCCTATCCTACCTGTGGCTTTCCCTCCTGCAAGGACAAATATGCATTTGAATCTTCAAATGGGGGGAGTATTTGGGAGACAGGGAAATGATGAACAAGAAAGTATAAATCCTTTTGCCTTGCTTCTTCTCTCTTCAACAAATGGCGTAGAATAATAATCTGAAACAGGAATAATTTTCCGTGTTTTGGCATACAATCTTTTATATTGCCCTAAGATTTTTTTTAATATTATGAATGCTATCTGCATATTACATATTTAAACTAAAAATTCATTGAATGGAAGGTAACACAGTTACCATCCCCACTCCTTTTTTCTTTGTCAAAGGATTTACTTGTAGTAACAATCCTGTTTGTTTGTCCTATTTACTGTCCTTCATTGCCTGTGCAGTTGCTCCATATAACCCCACTTCTTAACACATCGGAGCCCTTATTTTGTCTTTGTTGTTGTTAAATCCTTAACCTTCGGTTCTTGCTCTCTACATAAGCTGTGTCTTAATTTTAGCTTTTTTAAAAGTAAGTTTTGTCTAGAAATTCTATTGCATCTTACATGAGATGCATTGAATTGCATCTATATCCTCTCCTTTTATGTGCCTATAACAGGATTGCATCAAACCTGACAAGTCAATTCCTTGGTTGCCTTGTCAGAGCACTTAACACCCGGTAAACTTTCTATTCATTCTTGGATCCAGTGTGCAATTATTTACCACAAGCTGAAGCTTATAAGCCATATATCTGAAATCAACAAAAAGCTCCTCCTTCAATTTCCTCAAATCTCCAAAGGTTCTTAAGTGAACAAAAAAGTTTCCACTGAGTTTTGTTGATTGAATTGCGTAGGTACCCCCAGCAAGTGAGGAGTAATTTTGTCTGCCCTGGCAGAACAACAGGAGACGAAAATGAATTAGCCATTCAGCCAAGGCCTATACAAAGGGCAGGGCTCCACTCCGAGCTCACACAAAAACACTTACCCGCCACTTACTTTTAGGCAATTATAGGGTATTTTAAAGTCTGTGCTGAAAATGGCATAGAATCCCAGACCAATTATATGTCTGCCTTTCCCCGCAGGCAAAGGTGTACCCTGGGGCTCCGGAGCTTATACTTAATGCATTAAATGAACAGAGATTTTGTTCCAAATAGTGCTGTAGTATTGTAAAGGATCTGAAGCTGGTGCTTTCACAGGGGCTGGGTTTTGAAATGCCAAGGCTGCCAGAATGCCATCCTTCCTTCTTTCAGAACCAAAAAGTATCAGAAAATGGCTTTAGGTCAGTGTTTCTCAGCTGGGGGTCGGGACCCCTGGGGGTGTCACAAGGGGGTGTCAGAGGGGTTGCCAAAGACCATCAGTGCTATCTAGATGCAGGTGAACTACAACTCCAAAACCCAAGGTCAATGCCCACCAAACCCTTACAGGCTTGGAGATGGAGAAAACCAACAGCCTTTCCCCAAAGTTGTGTCTGTATGTGAAATTCACCAGATATATTGGAAGAGATTGCCCCATGCCTGCCTGAGCTAGCTCAGTGGATGCATCAAAAGGGTGCTGCTGATACACTTTGCATGCACAAGCTGTGAGGGCAATTCTTCTTTTCCAGTGCGTCTCACAGAATTCTACAGTTAAAATGTTCATGGCCAACAAAAAGAATGTATCTGTACTAGGCCTGTTTGATCAAGAAAAAATTTGTTTCTAAAATCGATTTGTAATTGGGGTGTTTTTTTGTTTCGATATTTAAAATAATTACAAAACTTTCCCCCAAAAAAGTTTTGGTATTTACGAAATTTCGTAAATATTAACGAATTTTTTAGAATATTTTTTGTATTTTTTAAGAATAATATTAAAATAATATTAAAAAATATTTAAAATGGAAAATTAACCAAAAAATGGCCCAAATGTGGACCAAACACAGGCAGGATACAGCAAATGAGAGCACACACCAACAGAAGAGTCTTTTCTTTTTTAGAATATTTTTTAAGAATAAAATTAAAAAATAATATTAAAAAATAATATTAAAAAATAATATTAAAAAAATATTAAAAATATTTTAAATGGAAAATTAACCAAAAAATGGCCCAAATGTGGACCAAACACAGGCAGGAGACAGCCAAAAAATTAAGAAACAAATTCACAAAAACCGAAGCAAGCAGCACTCACTCACAGCAGCAAGGAATGAATCCAATCCAGTTGCTAGCCAAGCCAAGCCAAGCCAATGCAAACCCCGGACCTCTTCTCTCTCCCTCGCCCTCTGCAGCAATGAGCTAAGGCCGCGCGGAGCCGCTTTGAAAGGGCTCGCCGGCCAATCAAAAACAAACAGCCACGGACCCACGGTGCACTGCTTGGGAGCGCCGGATTGGCTCCCAGGCACCAGCACTCCAGCAGCCTCCATCCCATTAACGAAACGAGCGGAAGCTCGTTAAATCTATGGGGGTTGCCGGTTCGATATTTTTAAACCCTTCCGGGTTTGAAAATGTGTTTTGATATCGCTTCGTAAATGCTAAAAATAACGAATTAATAACGAATTACAAAATTAACGAACGAAACCGCACAGGCCTAATCTGTACCCTGGTCATATAGATACTTGTTCTCCAGCACAAATATTTCTTCTGAGGCATTGAACAGCCAGGAATGATGTTGTTGATGTTTTTGTGTTAAGGCTCACAACCTTAACATTTGTACAATCTAAAAACCTACAAAATGAATTAAATATTGCAACTGTTAAAAGAATCCAGCTAAAATCTCATTAAAATAAAATCCATTCACTTTATAGGCAGTCCTGGGTGGTGGTTGAGAGGAAAGGATTGCAATGACACTGAGAGAGAAGCTGCCCTTTAATGGAGGACAGCAGAGGAATGAAATCATGGGTGGGGTTCATGGGTGCAGAAACACAGGCTTTAGCAGCTCGAGCCAGTACAACTGCTGGCAAGGAAGAAGGGGAATGTCAGTTCAGTAACATGAGGGGAGGCTCCTCCTTGATTACATAATATTTATTTATTTGTGCAGGAAGGTCAGTTATGTTGGGCTGTGCTCCTGAACTTGGTGTCCCAAACCATCTATCTTGATATCTCTAAATAATGTTGTATTACGTTTTTAAAAAGTGCACTGGCAAGATGACAGTTCGAAACATGTTGGGCTTGCTAGGATGCTGAATGCTGTGAACTAAGGCCCCATCTACACTGATCACTTAATGCAGTTTGAAGCCAGCCAGGTATGAAACTCCCATGAAAGCTGTAAAAGGAAGACCTTAATTTTCAGGCTAATGCACTATGGTTTGTGTAATCACCATCTGTGTCTTAAACTGGTTCCCGGATTTCCTGTGCAATCATCTGCATTCTTCAATACTGGTTTGATACTGTATTAAATGGTCAGTGTAGCTGGGGCTTAAGAGCTATTTACTTTATAGTTCACTATATCATGCCCCAATATTTTTCTGTAACCCCCCAAAAGGAGCAAATGATCAAGTCCAATCTTTCTTCCTCTGTCTGTAGGGGACAATCCATTGGAAATGTACTCTCTCCCTCCACCTACATTTCTATTTTACTTCCTATTCAGTGGTGCTACTTACCATCTCTTCTGATTGTGTTTTCTCCTTCCTTGTTTTTCCAGGTAGATGATTTGAAGGCAAAGTTGGCTGCTCAGGAAGTGGAGCTGAAGCAGAAGAATGAAGCTGCAGATAACCTAATCCAGGTGGTGGGTATAGAGACGGAAAAAGTCAGTAAGGAAAAGGCCATTGCTGATGATGAGGAGCAGAAGGTGGCCCAGATCACACAGGAGGTTCAGCAAAAACAGAGAGACTGTGAGGAAGACCTGGCAAAAGCTGAACCAGCTCTTGCTGCTGCCGAGGAAGCCCTCAAAACACTCAATAAGGTAGAGACCAGATAGAGTGGGATGGGGAGAGAATGGCTCAGCTCAAGGCAGCGGTCCTATGCATGCTTATCTAGGCAAACCCTATGGTGATGACCAACCCTATCTTAGGAAATGCCTATTGTATTTTTTTTACTCTTCTGAATGTTGTGTTCTACGTGCATAGGTTTATATTTCAAAGTAGTCCTTTAAGTACATCTTTATGTAGGGATTTGTGTTATCTATTTGTGTTAACTATTCCAGAGTCAAACTATTGCCAAGGATTGGATGTAAGATCTAGGATACTGCTCAATGAGCCATCTGGAGAAAGTTTTTATTAAAAATTGGTTGGTGTGTGACTGTGGCCATGGGATCATTTGAAATAACTAATTCTATTTCAGCATTTCTATTGATATAGTGGACTGCCAAAAAACAAATAAATGGGTCCTAGAGAAATTCAGGCATGAACTTTGAATAGAAGTCCAGCAAATTGCCCTCTAAACTGAGGCTGTTGTATTTTTAGACATATTGTGAGAGGACAAGATTTGTCGGATAATAGGATAATCTCAGTAAAATAGAAGGAAGAAGGAAAAGAGGAAGACCATATTATAGGTGGATTGATTCAGGAAAGCCATGGCTTTGAGTTTGCATGACCTGAACAGGGCTTTTGATACCTGAGGTTTGTGGTGGGCTGTGATTCGTAGGGTCCATAAGTTCATGGTGACTTGACATTACATAACACAATCAAATTTGTGTTTGGAGTTAGGATCAAAAGTAACAGTGTTAATATGTCTGGCCTAATGCTGTGTCACTGCTTGTTTTATATGCAGTGCATTTAATGATATGCACAGAAAGAACAATCCATTTCCCTACATTGTGGCTAAGTTAAACAAAAAACAAAAGCCTAAAATTGAAGCGTCTGAAATGAAATAGAAAACAGGAAGCCATTTTCCATTTGATCCGGCTTTTAGGAAAGCCACGGCAGTTTTGTGCTAGGATCTGTGTGCCTAAGAAGGAAACACTAATGAAACAGAAAGATGTTTGAATCCTATCAAGTAGAGTTTCATGCTGAAACTGTAAAACATCTCATTAAGGCAAGATTAATGGGAAGCTGAAGCGTCCCTGGAGAAAAGGGAGGCAGCATTTACATTGCGCCATAAACCACGTCCTCCTCCTCACCTGCGTCAGAGGGTTTAGCCCATCCATTGACATGAATAATTGGTTCTATTTGTGTGTCTATTAATAAAAAGTTACATCCAATAATGCAGATGTATTTACATTGTACTCTCATACAAGGAGTGGCAGGTGAAACAATAAGCAGAGCTCTTTACCAGAGAGTACTGGGAAATATAGATTGTGAGGGAAGGGTGGGGGCGGCGGAAAATTGTTGGATGTCAAAATTGATTGCTTTCTCTTTGTATTTCAGTTGTGTTGCGCTTTGATCAATTTTACTCATAAATAACTCAATTACAAAAATGCCACCCATGTGGAATATTTGCTCATTAATGCTCTGGTGCTCAAGGGTGTTAATCTGATGGGGAATTTTTTTAATTTAAAAAACTCCCTTAGTTGCTCTAGTTTTGCCACGTGGTCTTCAAGATGATTCTGCTCAGAGAACAAAAAATACTGCTTTTGAATGCTCTGTTCTTTGGACACATTGCCTTGCTGCTTTGGTGGAAAGAGGTACCCTTCTCAGGCTTTAGAGAATATATTTTCTTGCCTGAACATTAATGTTTAAGATGTCTATAAAATTCCCAAGACAAATGGGAATTCCTTACTGGATGACCCTAGTTTATTTCGTTTTCAAGATGGTCTTGGAAGCTTATGAGGTGGGGTGACCATGGCCTGTTGTGTGTAGATAGAGATTCAATATTGCTTTCAAAGGTTGATGTGGAACAGTCCTCCAAGATGTTTTCTTTTTCTTCTAAAGCCATTTGAATGATTGAGGTCATAGGCCTGGGCTGATTTGTTGCTCTTGGGACCATCTGTTTCAGTTCTTCACAAGTAAAATGAGGATATAGAGGATCCATGATGTCTGCTTGAATTTGGTTGCAGGAATATTTTCAAGCTGTGGGTGATTGAATCTGTGGATACTGAATCTGTGGCTACAGAGGGCTAGCTGTAATAATTATCAACCTCTCAACTTTATCAGAAGTATAAGATGAGTCTACAGATGATGTTTGTACATGCTCAATAGGGGAAGTAGCTGCTGTCTAGGTTGTTTTTGTAGGCAGGCACATGTGGCCACAGTAGGGTTGGCTAGAGTAGAATCCCATTCTTTCTCAGCTCAGGTTTTATTGCATTGTTTACCACAGACATGTTGCTGCAAGTCAAACATACTACAGCCTTCCTTCATCATCCTCCCAATGCGGATTCTTCCAGAAAACCCTCAGCAGAAAAGTGGGGCTGGGTAGGCAAAAGGAGCTTATTTTTTAGAGACTTTGTTAACTAAGGTGTGCCTGGAAATCCATTTGCAGAATAATCCAACACCCAAAGGATGCCAAGCAGATGTCTTCCTGTTCTTAAAACAGATGCCATTGTTTCTAATTAGCAAATAAATGAAATCATTTCAGCTCCAGGTAGGCTGCGTTGTCAGGCAAATCATTTGAACCTTTGTTTGAGAGTGACGTTGCCAGAAGGGTGTTCTAACACAATTGTTTATCATGAAGGAATTCTAAGCAGGCAGCATCTGCAATGTGCATCTTTTTTGGCTAAATTACAAAGAGCACACTTTTTGCCACTGCGCATTACATTTGGCAACAAATACTTTTTTTGGTTTCAGGGTTTCGAAAATTGAGGTGCGCCTTAGATTAGGTAATGCATTAGATTCAAGTAAATATGTGTATTTGTGAACAGGAACCATTTCATTGTTGTCCCCCCTCTTGTTGCTTATGTCCAGCTAGGATCCTTTCTTGATGAATCACAGCAATGGCCATTTTAAACCCCAATAGCTAGTTCAGTACTTCATTGCTCAGCTAGACATTTGGGATGTGCACAGTTTGGGAAAATTGTGTGGTGTTTTTGAACTGCAAACTTGAAATTCCTTAGCTAGCATGGCTACTGGGAGATTTTGATTCTCCACACCAAAAGAGAAAAACCTGCAGCCTGCAGAGAGTTAAAAGGGTTTTTTTCATCATGGCAGAAGCGACTTGAGAAACTGCAAGTTGTTTCTGGTGTGAGAGAATTGGTCATTTGCAGAGATGTTGCCCAGGGGACACCTGCATGTGTTACTATCCTGTGGGAGGCTTCTCTTATTTCCCCGCATGGGAAGCTGGAGCTGACATGCGGGAGCTCACCCCATCTCGCGGATTTGAACCACCAACCTTCAGGTCAGCAGTTCAGCTGGCACAAGGGTTTAACCCATTGCGCCACCGCAGCTCACTAAGTTAAGAGGTAACTCTTCCTCCTCTCAAAGCCCCACTCTTTTTACGTTTATAATTTATGATGACATTAGCCTTAGTCAGTCAGTATTGTGTAGAATAGATTTCTGCTTGGTTTCCCTCCAGCTCAGTTTTGGAGATGGCCTTGCTCTGAAAATGTAGCCTTACCACATATGTTGTGTATGCTCATTCATACCTAGAGAGCAACATGGGGACTGTCACAGTCTCTATCTGGCTTTATGGGTGATGTATGCAATGAATGGATGCAATCACAATAACTCAGAGCTGCCTTAGGAATTTCATCACAAACTGTTCAGGTATGTGTTATAAGTGTATTTCTGCATGTCTTGCTGCTTACGTCTAAGTACAGTAGTTTTATCCTGTAGACTCCTCATCTTTGGATTGTATTATGTAAATGAAATGAAGGTACCAAGGAGCTCCAGTGTGGAATAGAGCTTGCTTTAACATTTGCAAGATGAGATCTGGTGTAGAAGGAAACCCTCTAGCCAAAAGTCATTTTTTCTTCTATTGGGTTATAAAAATATCAGTGCTCTAGTTTTCTGATCAAACTGTGCTACAGTGGCATGACCCAAAGGTGGAATTCTTTCATTTCGAATTGGATTCTTCTGCATGACAAGCAGAGTCTTATATTGGTCAGTTTCAGGTCAGTGTTGTCTGGATTCTTTTAAGTCTGAAGGAAATGAATGGGCATCTCTCATGAGATCTAGGTGTTATGTGTTCATTTGAAATAGCACTCCTTTCATTGCACCATTTAATTAATGGAGTAATGCGAAAATAAATAAAATGTTTTCTTGATACGAAAAGAAAAACAAGCTTTTTTATTATTGCTGTCAGAGAGTTTGCTGGGACATAGAGCAGATATAGGTATGGATCTGCATGCACAAATACTTATATAATTACTTGTATATGCAAATTCAGACAACATAGTGTTTCATGATGGAGAACATGGAGAAACTGGTAACACATAGAAGATGACCACATTGTGTAGCTGATTTTCTCGCACTCCTGCTATGAAATGAGGGGGAGAAGGGTTTTAGTGAGGACACAGTCAGGTCAATATCAGTGTGTCCCCTGCAACTGACAATTGACACCTTGTGTGAATATAGCCAATTAATCTATTGTAAATCAAACTGGCAAAATAATTATAAAGTAGTCATCTTCATAAGAATTTTGAATTCAGTGAACGTTCTTCAGTGGCTCACCAGACATGCATGGTTGATTTCGGAGTCTGCTGATCTTTCTCCATTTCCTCGTTGTGCTTATTTTTTCATACTGGATAAATCTGTAATCTAATTGTGTAGTTTTAATGGCCTGCAAGTTGGTTGAAATGCTGAAGGAACACGACTGGCTCTCATCTCATAAGTCAGCGGAGGCCCTTGTGCCACTAAGGGATTCATTGCTTTATGCTGGATGAGTCATAATATTTAGAATTCAGAGTGCTGCCTGTGGCTTCAAAGCTCCTTTCTCAGGCTGATAGCTCTGGAGCCTGGCTCCATTACCAGCAAAGTAAAAAAGAAAACCCATTCATTTTAATCTAGCAACCATGTCTCTTTCTCCCCCTCTCCTCATTTTCAGAACAATCTGACAGAGCTGAAGTCATTTGGATCACCACCTTCTATGGTCAGCAATGTCACTGCTGCTGTGATGGTGCTCATGGCTCCAGGTGGGAAGGTGCCCAAGGATCGGAGTTGGAAAGCAGCCCGAGTGGCCATGAGCAAGGTGGATGGCTTCCTGGACTCCTTGATCCAATTCAACAAAGAGAACATACACGAGAACTGCCTCCGAGCCCTGCAGCCCTACCTTCAGGATGAAAATTTCAACCCTGAGTTGGTGAAATTGAAATCTCAGGCAGCTGCTGGCCTTTGCTCCTGGGTCATCAATATTGTGCGGTTCTATGAAGTGTATTGCGATGTGGAGCCCAAGAGGCAGGCACTCAGCAAAGCGAATGCTGAGCTTGCTGCTGCTCAGGAAAAGCTGGCTAGCATCAAGGCCAAGATTGCGGTAAGTTCAAAAGCACAAGCAAAACTATTGTTCCTTGGTGTTCTTGAGAAGAGGGCAGAAAGCAACAGCAGGTCAGACATACTGCCTGCTCTGGCTGGCTGGATCTCAGGTAAGGGCCCATCACAGCATTTGTCACCTGTTCTTTTCACTGAAAGTGTTGCGGTTGAACTTGCGGTGATCTGTAGGCCGGGTATGCACTCTGCCACTGACTTAAGTGGTGATTTTGCTGTTTGTCATTCACAAATATTTGGTGTATAGTATTAATTTGGGAAATTCTGTAAAGCCCAGTTCCTTTCAGTTCTGGGAAACAAACTGTTGCAGAAAATCAGGGCACGAGAAACTGTCAGAATCCTTCAGCCCATATTATTACTGGTAATGCTGGCTAGGGGATTCTGGTACTCACAATCTAAAAAGTTTATTTATTTATTTCAGATATTTTTACCCTGGCTTTTTCTGCAAGCGGACCCAAGGCAGCTTACAATATATAAAACATACAATACAGAAGTTAAAAAACGTAGTTAAAATCTAATATTTGATATAGCCAATTACCACCTTCCCAATATAAAACCCCTTTAACATAAAAACATTAAACCTTAAAACTTTACCCAGCCCTAAAATATATGGTTCTGTCTTTAGTTGAAAGCCTTCTTAAATAAGGTCTTTACACCCTTCCAGAAACTCAACAGGGAAAGGGCAGATCTTAATTTTTCTGGAAGAGTTTTCCAAAGTGCTGGTGCCATCCCTGAGAAAGAGCCTTTCCTGAACTATTTAGACATACTCGGTTCTTGTGGGTTTTTTCGGGCTATATGGCCATGTTCTAGAGGCATTTCTCCTGACGTTTCGCCTGCATCTATGGCAAGCATCCTCAGAGGTGAGGCTCATCTCTGAGGATGCTTGCCATAGATGCAGGCGAAACGTCAGGAGAAATGCCTCTAGAACATGGCCATATAGCCCGAAAAAACCCACAAGAACCGAGTGATTCCGGCCATGAAAGCCTTCGACAATATATTTAGACATATGTTGGGGGGGGGGGGTGTCAAGATAAGGGTCTCCCCACAGGATCTCAATGCTCAACCCGGTATGTATAGGGGGACACAGTGTTCCAGGTAGCCTGGAATGAAGCTGTATAGGGCTTTATAGGTAAGAACCAGTACCTTGAATTGGACTCGGAAACATATAGGCAGCCAGTGGAGCTGTCTCAGTAATGGACTAGTAAGCTGCCTGAGATCAGCCCTCATTAGAAGCCTAACTGCAGATCTTTGTACAAACTGCAGTTTCCAATAACTTTTCAAGGGCAGATCTATGTAGAGCGCATCACAATAATTCAATCTGGATGTAATCATTGCATGTACTACTGTGATCAGGTCCGACCTCTCCAGGCATACAAACTTTAAGTGTGCGAAGGCCACCTGATCTTTCAGGTTTAAGGTGGAGTCCAGGATACCCCCCAAATTGTGAACCTGAATCTTCAAGGGGAGTGTCACCCCTTGAAGAGGTCTGTCAAAGGGGGTGTAATCCCCGGCCAGGGTTGTAACCCTATTCCCAGATCCATCTTATGTGAGACCAGGAATACTTTGCCATGCTTTGTGCACAGCCTCCAATGTTGTTGTTCATTCGTTCAGTCGTCTCCGACTCTTCGTGACCTCATGGACCAGCCCACGCCAGAGCTCCCTGTCGGCCGTTACCACCCCCAGCTCCCTCAAGGTCAGTCCAGTCACTTCAAGGATGCCATCCATCCATCTTGCCCTTGGTCGGCCCCTCTTCCTTTTGCCTTCCACTTTCCCCAGCATAATTGTCTTCTCTAGGCTTTCCTGTCTCCTCATGATGTGCCAAAGTACTTCAACTTTGTCTCTAGTATCTTTCCCTCCAGTGAGCAGTCGGGCTTTATTTCCTGGAGGATGGACTGGTTGGATCTTCTCGCAGTCCAAGGCACTCTCAGAACTTTCCTCCAACACCACAGTTCAAAAGCATCGATCTTCCTTCGCTCAGCCTTCCCTAAGGTCCAGCTCTCACATCCGTAGGTTACTACAGGGAATACCATGGCTTTGACTAGGCGGATCTTTGTTGCCAGTGTGATGTCTCTACTCTTCACTATTTTATCGAGATTGGACATTGCTCTCCTCCCAAGAAGCAAGCGTCTTCTGATTTCCTGGCTACAGTCTGCATCTGCAGTAATCTTTGCACCTAGAAATACAAAGTCTGTCACGGCCTCCACGGTTTTCCCTCTATTTTCCAGTTGTCAATCATTCTTGTTGCCATAATCTTGGTTTTTTTGACGTTTAGCTGCAACCCGGCTTTTGCGCTTTCTTCTTTCACCTTGATTAGAAGGCTCCTCAGCTCCTCCTCGCTTTCGGCCATCAGAGTGGTGTCATCTGCATATCTGAGGTTGTTAATGTTTCTTCCAGCAATTTTCTCCCCAGCTTTGCATTCATCAAGCCCCGCACATCGCATGATGTGTTCTGCATACAAGTTAAAAAGGTTGGGTGAGAGGATGCAGCCTTGCCGTACGCCTTTCCCAATCTTGAACCAGTTTGTTGTTCCATGGTCAGTTCTTACTGTTGCTACTTGGTCCTTATACAGATTCCTCATGAGAGAGACAAGGTGATTTAGTATGTCCATACCACCAAGAACTTGCCACAATTTATTATGATCCACACAGTCAAAGGCTTTAGAATAGTCAATAAAACAAAAATAGATGTTTTTCTGAAACTCCCTGCCTTTCTCCATTATCCAGCGGATATTGGCAATCTGGTCTCTCGTTCCTCTGCCTTTTCTAAACCCAGCTTGAACATCTGGCAACTCTCGCTCCATGTATTGCTGGAGTCTTCCTTGCAGGATCTTGAGCATTACCTTACTGGCATGAGAAATAAGGGCCACTGTACGGAAGTTTGAGCAGTCTTTCGCATTTCCTTTTTTTGGTATGGGGATATAAGTTGATTTTTTTCCAGTCTGATGGCCATTCTTGTGTTTTCCATATTTGCTGGCATATGGCATGCATCACCTTGACAGCATCATCTTTTAAGATTTTAAACAGTTCAGCTGGGATCCCGTCGGCTCCTGCTGCCTTGTTGTTAGCAATGCTTCTTAAGGCCCATTCAACCTCACTCCTCAGGATGTCTGGTTCTAATTCATTCACCACACCGTCAAAACTATCCTCAATATTATTATCCTTCCTATACAGATCTTCTGTATAGTCTCGCCACCTTCTCTTGATCTCTTCAGCTTCTGTTAGGTCCCTGCCATTTTTGTTTCTTATCATACCAATTTTTGCCTGAAATTTACCTCCAATGTTTCTAATTTTCTGGAAGAGGTCTCTTGTCCTTCCTATTCTGTTGTCTTCTTCCACTTCCATGCATTGCTTATTTAAAAATAGTTCCTTATCTCTTCTGGCTAACCTCTGGAATTGTGCATTTAACTGGGGCATATCTCCCCCTATCACTGTTTCCTTTTGCTTCCCTCCTTTCTTGGGCTACTTCCAGTGTCTCAGCAGACAACCATTTTGCCTTCTTGGTTTTCTTTTTCTTTGGGACGTACTTTGTTGCCGCCTCCTGAACAATGTCGGACTTCTGTCCATAGTTCTTCTTGGACTCTGTTTACTAAATCTAGTCCTTCAAATCTGTTCTTCACTTCCACTGTATATTCGCTAGGAATGTTAGTGAGATCATATCTAACTGGTCTGTGTATTTTCCCTGATCTCTTTAGTTTTATTCTAAATTGGGCAATAAGAAGTTCGTGATCTGAGCCACAGTCAGCCCCAGGTCTTGTTTTCACCGACTGGATGGATGTCCGCCACCTTTGGCTGCAAAGGATGTAGTCAATCTGATTTCGGTGTTGACCATCTGGTGAGGTCCATGTATAAAGCCGTCTTTTAGGTTGTTGGAAGAGAGTATTCGTTATACACAGCGAGTTTTCCTGGCTAAATTCTATCAGCCTGCGTCCCGCTTCATTTTGTTCTCCCAGACCATGCTTGCCTGTGATCCCAGTTGTCATTTGACTTCCCACCTTGGCATTCCAGTCTCCTGTAATGAAAATAATGTCTCTTTTTGGTGTATTATCCAGTAGGTCCTGCAGTTCCTCATAGAACTGATCTACTTCTGCTTCTTCAGCAGCTGTGGTTGGGGCGTATATTTGGATCACTGTAATGTTGAAAGGCTTTCCTTGCACTCGAATTGAGATCATTCTGTCATTTTTTGGGTTGTATCCAAGCACCGCTTTAGCGAATTTCTTATGAATTATGAAGGCTACTCCATTTCTTCGATGTTCCTCTTGTCCGCAGTAGTAGATCTGGTGGTCATCTGATGTGAAGTGGCCCATTCCAGTCCATTTCAGTTCGCTGACCCCCAGAATGTCTATCTTTATTCTTGACATCTCACCAATAACAACATCCAATTTGCCCTGGCTCATAGATCTTACATTCCAGGTTCCTATGGTGTGTTGATCTTTAGAGCATCGGATTCGTCGTTCACCTCCAGTACCGTCGTCCGCTAGCCTTCCTTTCGGCTTTGAGCTAGCTGCGTCATCACATCTGGGGCTAGTTGAACTTATCCTCTGCTCCTCCCCAGTAGCATTTTGGCCATCTTCCGACCTGGGAGTCCGATCTTCCAATGGCATACCGACATATCTCTGGTTGTACTGGTCCATTTAGTTTTCTTGGCAAGGATACTGGAGTGGTTTGCCATTGCCTTCCCCAGGGATCACGCTTGGTCTGACCTCTCTGCCACAACCGTCCCGTCTTGGGTGTCCCTTCACGGTTTCTTTCATGACATCATTGAGGTGCTCAAGCTCCAGCGCCCCGACAAGGCGGTGATCCTTTGCTGGAGACAGCCTCCAATAAAAGGTACCAATTTAAATCAGTGGGGTAATATTTCTCTTGGATTCTTGACCTATAATGCCTAAGCAGGTAATTCCTTTTAAGCTATGATAGTAAGTGCTGGGATTAACCCTTTAGCTGCTAAACCAAATGAAAACAACCCAACAATTAATTCAATTCTTTTAAATCA